CGGGAGTCGATCACCCCGTCGTTGTCTTTGCGGCAATAAGGGCACCTCATGGCGTGAAGATAGCCGACGGGCCGCCGCCGGTCATTCACTTCTGCCGCGGATTTCTTGGGCAAGGTCCGGCTGGCGCCGGCGAAGGCCACTTTGGCGCCAAGAACGCTATACTCGGCCTACGTGCCGCCGTCCCGCCCCCTGTTCCAGCTAGCAATGCCGATGCCGGACCCAACGCCAACCGACGCCACTCCCCGCGACCGCTTTCAACAAGCCGCGGCCGACCGCCAATCGAGCGCCCATGAGCCCGAGGCGCCCCTCTGGGCCGGCAGCTATTCGCATCTGGCGATGCTCGGCACGTGGGTCGGCGGCGCCATCGTCACCATCGCCGCGGTCGTCGTCGCCGCTCTGATGAACACGCCCGGCGGCGGCTGGCTGATGGTCCTTTCGGGCATCGGCGTGATGTGGCTCGCCCTGGCGGCGTGGTATGGCTACCGCCGCTTGAGCGTCCACTACAGGCTCAGCACGCAGCGACTGATCCACGAGGACGGCTTCCTCTGGCGGAAGGTGGACCGCGTCGAACTGATCGACATCGACGACGTCACCTACCGCCAAGGCCCCGTCGAACGCCTGCTGGGGGTCGGCACGATCGTCATCGCTTCGAGCGATGTCACCACCCCCGAACTAAGACTGCCCGGAATTGAAGAGGTCTCAAAGGTCGCCGACATCATCGACGACGCCCGACGCAAGGAACGACGCAGCCGCGGGTTGCACATCGAGTCGGTCTGACGACGGAGGGTGTTAGCTGGGTAGTCTGATAGGCCGGTAGGGTTGCGCCGGCTGCGAGTTCTCTGACGGACTAACCGTCTATCGGACCACCGGACTCGCCGCGGCGTCGTTGCCCCCGCGTTGTGGCCCGCGCATGCTAGAGGCCTCCCGCCTCTTGCCGTGCGAGCCCGCCCTCCGTGCACGTCGTCGTCGTCACCCACTACTTCCCGCCGATCGGCGGCCCCGGCGCCCGGCGCATGTTGGGTTGGGTGAACGGCTTTGTCGCCGCCGGCGCCCGGGTGACGATCGTCACGCCCGCGGCCCATCCGCGCGACCCCTACTACCAGCCTGGCGAAAGCTACGACGGCCCCGCGACGGTCGTCACGCCAGCGATCTTCGACCCCGCGCGCTTCGCCCGCGGCGGCGACGGCAAGCCCCTCGTCAGCGAAGGACCACAGTCCGAGAAGCGCGGCCTCGCGGCGCGCTTGCGGCCGTGGTTGCTAATGCCCGATCAAAGGCGATTGGCGAACGGCCCGCTGTTTCGCGCGGCGCTCGCGGCGCTCGCGGCGATCCGCGACGAGCCAGCAATCGTGCTCACGTCGAGCCCTTACAACAGCGTCCACCTTGCTGGACGGGTGATCAAAGAGCGTCTCGGCGACCGCGCGACGTGGATCGCCGACTCCCGCGATGACTGGTTCCACCCTGTCTTCTTCCCGTTCCCCAACGCCGCCTACCGCGCGTACAACCGCGGACTCGAAGCTAAGGTCTTGCGCGACGCCGACGGTCTAACGATCGTCAGCCGCAGCACGCTCGACAAAGTGCGCTCGCGCCACGCGGAGTTCTCTGTGGACTTTTGGAGCACCGAAGAGAGCGGCAAGTGGCGCTGGGTTCCGAACGGCTTCGATGCGACCGGCGTTGAAGCGATCCTGAACGCGCCGGTTCCGCCGCGCGATCCGTCGGCGCCGGTGAGACTGCTCTTCAGTGGCACGCTCTGGCAGGGGCATCCACTGGAGGCGCTCGTCGCTGCGCTCGGAAACGTTGCGGCAAAGACGGGCCAGCGCTTCCGTTTCGAGCTCGCCGGCCGTGTGATACAGCCCGTGCCGCCGACGCCCGATGCTGAACGCGTCGAGATCTTCACCGCCGGCTGGAAGCCCTACGAGGAATCGCTCACCGCCACGCGGCAAGCGGACTTGCTGCTCGTGCACGCGGGCCCCGAGTCGCAAGACATCAAAATCAAAATCTTCGAAGCCGCCGCGGTGCGCCGCCCCGTGCTGGTGCTCGGCCCCGAAGACTCAGCCACGGTGCGCCTAGTGCGCGAGCATGTCGCCGACCCGCTCATCGCCGACCAAGACAATGAACCCGCGATTGTCGCAGCGCTTGAACGTTACTTAACGAGCACCGACGAATCCCGCCACGCTTTTACCGGCGTCCCCGCCGAGTACGACCGCGTCGTCCAGTCGCAACGACTGCTCGACTGGGCTAGTCGATTAAGAAGAATGGGACGCGGATGACGCGGATAGAAGAGATTTCCACGGATTGAG